GCCCCTCGCCACGCCTCGGCCACGTCAGCCTCCTGCTCTCCAAAAGCAACGTCAAGGTATTTCTGCCTCCCCGCTTCCAAGCGCTCTCCTTGCCATCCAAGTCTCGACAAGCCATCTGTTTGTTTCCAAAATATTTTGTACACGCTGCTCGCACAAACTCCGGCTCCCTGGGAAATGAGGCGCTCCCCTGTGGATCTCAAACACGTGGCCAGACCCCTTCGTTCCCCTGTTAAGACAATTTTCCAAGAGAAACTTCACGCGGGCTCTGCTAGCACTCAGCAGCACTGATCATTTAACCAGATACCTGTCTGCAACTTTTACTCCAGGAATGTTTTCCTTGGCAAGACCCAAAAAGTTGGGAACTTTGGTCAGAAAAACGTAAGAGCAGCCGGACGCGGTGTGCTCCGTGGATTTGGGACGATGGAAGAAGCACTCAGGGTTTTACGGCAGGGAAAATGGCTCACGGCAGTGCCTGCACGCGAAGCATTGTCCATCATCTTTGTGCTGCCTAAAGCAAACGGGACGCAGGGAAAGGCCGGGGGTAAAAGCACGGAGTGGCTGGGGACAGCAGGGCAGCAGCCTCGGCACGGCACGAGCCCGGCAGAGCCGCCGGCAGCACATCAGTCTCTTCACGTGTCCTTACTCGCAGCTTTGTTTACAAGCGTCAGGATCTCGCATTCGCCATCCCTGTCCCGTCAAGCCCGCGTGAGGGTGGGACGCTGCCAAAGAAATCGCTCACCCGGGGAAGATTTGCTGCGGTAAGAAACAAGCACCGGCCCATTTCCATCCCCGCAGCCAAAACTAACCCGAGTCGGCACGCGGGCGCTTTCCGTCCCAGCAGACCCCAAAAAAACCTGCTCCTGGATAAACCCGCCATTGAGCCGACACAAACCGGCTGCGGCAGGAAGCGAAGAGCAGCCGGGGCCTTCCCAACCGGCACCGGCACTACCAAACCTCGGGTCAAACAACAAGGAAACCACCCATGCAAATGCCAGCGGGGGAAGGCTCCGCCGTCTCCATCCTCCTCCACGCCGGGAAGCACGGAGGAGACAGAGGGATGGCGAGACACAAGATGGATGTTTGAGCGAGGCTCTCTGGATCACCGGAGGAGAAAACCAGCTTTTTCGGTGCGGCAAATGCTTTTAAGGAGGCCGAGGCAGGTGCAGGAGGCGGAAGGCGCAGCCGGGTTAAAGCAAACCCCTCCCTGCCCAGCTTGTTTGTCTGCAGCAGCCTCGGCTGCGGTGAGCTGCACCTGGTCGGGGCCAGGTGGACAGAGGAGAGGAGAAGAGGCACTTAATTTGGCTGTCGTCTCTACGCGCCGCCGGCACGCCAATCCCCGACAATGCTCCTGCACGGTTATTTTTGGGCTTTGCTCTTACTGTCCTGCAGCCAAAGTTCCACCAGCTCCTTGCTGGCACCGGGGCGGTTTCCAGGAGAAGCAGCTCCTCCGACGTAAAGCTGGAGCAACCCAAAGGGACACCGTGGCCAGCACACGGCAACCTCCCAGGTGCCGAATTCAGCTGGGGCACGCGGCGAGCCGTGGGGACTCCCCTACCCTGGTCCTTTACCTCCTGGCTGGCGTTAAAACTGCTCTGCCTCCTGTTTACAGCCCTGGAGCGGAGGGGGCAGCGGGTTTCGGGCCCCCTCCATTGTTTTCCGGGGAAGGCAGGAGGGTTTTGCAATGTGGCCAGCACTGGGAAGATGCAGTGCCTCACACTCGTCTCCTGCTTGGAAAAAAACCCACCTCGTACAGAAAATGCTTCCTTAACGCCTCAACCATGCACCCCAAGGGTTACCCCAGCCCGGCACCACATGTTTATGGCTGTTACTACCAGCCTTGGGAATTAACCGCTATCGGGAGAGCTTGGCCAGGTTTGGGTGACGGCTGCAGCGAAGCACCAGCAGTTGGAGGCTGTTTGGCAGGACGGCCGTGCTCCCGTCCAACGCCTGGCGACCCTTTGGGTCCAACCACCCGGCAAGAGCCGGGTCCCCTGGAAATGAGGGCGAGCAGTATCGGCCAGGACAACTAAGGATGGGCTTTCAGGGACGCCGAAGCCGATTTTAAATCTTTCGGTCTGTTTTTCATCATCCAGCCCAAAAAAACCCACTTGGGAAAAGCTTGGCTGGAGGGAGAGGCACCGACTCCGCTCCCGGGGAAGAGGGAACCACGCAAATCCCAATCGCATCCCGGGTGGAGGAGAGGCGGCACCGTCCGAGGACCCACAGCCGGCGATCCTGACGCCGGCATTTTGCAACCACGGGGAAGGCGCTCCGTCCGTCTGTCCTGACTGTTAAATAAGAACAGGCCTGACCTGACCCAGAGGGTATCGCCAAGGATCAGCAGCAAACAGCTCCGGTATTTGGAGATCGCCGGCGTTACAGAGGCGCTTATCACCGTAATAACCCATTAGCCAAACGAGCCCAACTCTGCAATCGCTCCTTATAAGGCCGGGAAAGCTGCGGGGAATTAGGACTCTCCTAAGGAGACTCAGAGCTGAGTCACCCGGCA